GTTTGTTTATTCCGAGAGGAAACCAACGTACAGGGTGAGAAATGCACAGACACCTGCAAAATCACAGTGTACCTTTCTGAGGGTGAGCACACGTTTCTTCACCCCAACAACGCAGCCTTTCACCATAATAAAGTCATTATTGACTTCACCATAGTGGGGGAAACCTCCCTACAGGGACAAAGAACAGAAGAAAGAACAACCCTTTATAATCTATCATTCTAAATTGATAAAGCAGCTACAAGTCTTTTGACTGATATACAGTAATACCTCCTTATGTTATATAGACTAAAATCTCCCAACATGCAAACATTTTCACTGTGGTTTCGAATTGTTACATTATCAATATTTGGATTCATAGAAAGTATTACCATTGGGTTTATGGTCTTCTGGCTGGAGTCGTAGTGGGTGGAGGCATTATTCCGGATCACCTTTCCATCCTGAACATGGACACCCTGACCAATACGATAGATCTGTGAACAAAAGTGAGGATGAGGCCACACAAATAAACATATCACTACATATACTAGTAATATTTCTTATGATAATTCATTAATTCATAATTCATTTCAGTCTCATGTGGGAAATGAACTCTTAACCGTGAGCTAACCTTCTTGTTGACCTCAGTGCGGTGGTTATATCCCTTCTGACCGGCACGGGCAATAGTGTAGGCCACTCGGGCAGGATGCCAGGCTCCAATACAGGCCACCTTCCTCAGGCCCTTGTGAGTCTTCCTCGGAAGCTTCTTTGTGTGCCAGCGGCTCGTCACACCTGTCATCCCAAAGAGCAAAAGGCCCAGATTGAATGGTTGATATAACTATTGAATTAAATGTATGTACATTTGGTTTTCCAAGTTCTTGGACAAGCAGGACCAGGAGCATGTTTCGTACCTTTGAAGCCATGACCCTTGGTGACGCCGATGACGTCAATCATCTCATCCTGGTAGAAGACAGCAGAGACGGGCACAGCCTGCTCCAGACGCTCCTTTGCCCAGTCCACCTTGTCTGAGATGCTACCCCCATTTAGCTGCACCTCAATGATGTGGGCTTTTTTCTGCTTTATGGGCAGCAGTCGCATCTGGAAACAAAGAAATAATACCTGTGAGGGCTGAAAAAGCCTGAAAAATGTATAGTTTTCCATGAGATTCAAAAACCACAGAATATGTTTCATTGAACTTAATGTGTTTATAAGTCTTGTACTTTTAATTAGACGTATTATTCAGCATGAACGTCATGAAGTCACCAGAGCTGTCAGTATTTCTAAGAATGTTTGATTTAATCTCTGCTGCCCAAAGAAAGACTGGTCTTAGTGACACTGTTGGCAGCTAAGATCTTGTCTGGTCTTAATTTTCCTTGCTGTATTTTTAAATGTATTTTTAAACTGCTATTTGAAACGACACCCTCCAGAGCCCCTTGGCAGCGTTTGGGGATGTGGCAGCTTTTCTTTCCATTGCATGCGGCTCAGGTCTCACACCTCTGCCCTTTTGCAGGGAGTAGAGGCGGAGACTCGTGTTATAAGATAACACAGTGGTTGTGTTTTTAAAAGCTGCATTTTGCTTTCTAGGAGTTAATAACGGACTGGCCCACCTGGGAGTGAACAATAACCCTGATGATGGAACAGTATTTCTTCAGCATGTTAAAATCCTTATCCAGCTGTTTCTTTCCTGTCTCGTCCTGCCACTTCTTACTGCACTTGGTGAAGGCCTTTTTCTTGCTCTTGTACCTGAAACACGGAAGAGAAAAACACTGACATTTGGTAATTTAGTTGAATAAAATCATCTTGATAAACTAGTTTATTAATTTCAAATTATCTCAACTTAAAATACCAGTTTCTCCAACTAATAAACTTGATTTGTAACTTTTTGTAAACAGAAACATGAGTTGAACTCATGAGTTGAGCAACTGTCCTGCTGAAAGTTCATGTAGCTCATCAACTTTCTGAAGAAAGATCATAACATCAAAAGCAGCATCAACCACAGCTGTGCTTTGTGTCAAATGAAAAACAGACTGAAGCAAATCCGACTGACCCATTTGTCTGTGACACTGATCAGCACTGAAAATTAAATTTTTAACTGAACTCGCAGCTTGACTGTACATGGAATATCCTGGGGGACAAATGAATTGAGCTACACACACCAGTTTTTGTAGAATCTGCGCTTGCACTCCTCACTGAGGTGCTCAGCAAAGATGGTTTTAAAGGAACGTAAACCACGGATGGTCTGGATGTATCCCACAACACCCACAACAACGACAGGAGGAGTGTCAATGATAGTTACCGCCTCCACCTCCTCTCGCTTAGCTTGTTCTATGGGCGGAACATGGAACACAGGAGGAGATGTCAGTCGTCAGTGGAACTCAGTCAACCACAGGATTTTTAACATGAGATATTGTATGTATGCAGATATGCAAAAAATATACAGCAAGGAAAGGAAAAAAGGTGCAACAGAAAAGGAGATGACAACTGAAGCATAGATTTTTAGGCCCCACCACAGAGCAAAAATGGTTTAACATTTAATTATTTTGCATACCATGGCCTTAAGGAGTGTAATGCCACCAAGCAAGGTACCATCTACCAACAAATAGCAAGAATTATTCCAGCTTTACATACTTAGGCCAGTGCGGTGTATATCCCTGAGGGTGTGGGTCATGCCAGCCTTGTATCCCAAGAAGGCCGTGAGGTGGACCGGTTGGCTGGGGTCGTCTTTGGGCCACGTACGCACCCTCCCCCTGTGCTTCTTGCTACGCTTGTGGGGCAGAAACGCCATGTGCCCGTGGCGTGGTGCATGGAATTTGCGATGAGACTAGAGAAAATAAAAGCCACAGGGCAACACACACATGTCACAAACACACTACAGGAGCAGTTTGCATGATGTGCAGATGTGTGACCATCCCCTCACCATCTGTTACACTGAAATACACAGGTTCCTCATTCTATACACGGTAATGTTGTCTTAAGATGGTCTAATTTCCTAGTTTCTTTAACATATTGTTAAGGGTCCCCAGAGGTTGTTATCATGCAGGACATTAAAGCAATATAATGCAGATGACTCTCACATCCAAGATCTTAGGCCTTTCTCTCCAAGACCTGTGTTTATACCTGAAATAATGAAGTTAGTTGTGACCATTACAGGATTTAATGTTGTCTCCTCACAGGCAGCCATTATTAGATAACCTTTCTACACATGTCCTCTTCCCTTAATCCGTCTTCCCAGATGGAAAAACAAACTCATAAATCATACAAACTTGCCCAACGTGTAAGAGATAAATCAGATTAAACTGCACAATGATGTCTTGTATATAAAAGAACCAAGAAGACAATGAGTACTGACCATGTCCGCACCCTGTCGAGTCGTGGGATAGAAAGAGAGAGGAACCAGTGCTGACGTAAGAGACATGCATAAGATGATACACAGCACAAGAGCTCTAATTTGGTGTTTGGCCCAGTTGAGGGGTCGTATTTGCTTTCAAACTAGGCAATCTCTGCCAGGTTCTGCCAGGAGAAGGTAAGAGGAGGGAGGGGGGATGAAGTCTGAGGTCTGAGGTTGGGGTGGGAGGGCAGTGGACGGGAACCACGCAACCAAGAAAGGACAGTTCTCGTTTTCATGGGGCCAGCCTGGCCTGCCTCAGAACTAATACACTCTATTCTCTGTCTTTATAGAGCAGCAATACTGAGGTCAATCTTTGGAGACCTGTTGTTGATGACACACAGCGTAAGAGTGTAAGAGCTCTATCACTACTCTCCGCTGTGTGTGTATGTGACACTGACTGATCTGAATGTATGCTCTGCATAATAATGTTGACCATAGCTGGGATTTATCTGTGTGACTTTCTCAACCATGTATTGTGTTGATTGTTTATTCATTAGCTGTGGTTTTACTTGTCACAGCAGCATCACATATAATATTAACTTCAATGGCACTTAGAGAGTGAATGTTTGGCAAGGTCTCCCAGCACAACCAGATGGCAGCCGCTCACCAGTAAACGTTTTATTTAAACCAAATGCGCCTAAATTCAACATAAGTTTTCCTGTGTACCTCAGAAGATCAACTCTTTCCACTCGTGTCCAGTGTTAGCTCAGCTCTCTCTGTCACACTGTGACCCTCAGTGTGCTTCTTCACTTATTCAGACTCGTTTAGGATCCCAAGAGGTTGTTATCATGCAGGACATTCAAACTATAAGCCCTGGTTAAAGTAGACTATTTAGTTAACTGGACTCAGCTGAGCTCATCACCCCCCTGTTGCAGCTGGAGATGCTCTGCTGAGACACGTCAACATACCCCCATCAATCAACTGAGGCCTGGGAGCAAACCTGAACTATATTGCTTCACCCCATGCAATGCAAATAGAGTTTGTTTCCTATGCACACATGTCACTCTGACATCTCTCGGTTCAATTTGTTCTGTTTTTAAGCTTCTGTTCTGTTTTATCTTAAAAACCTTGAGCTGCATTTCATGCCGTGAAAAGGACCATATGCATTAAATGTATTATTATTATTGTTATTATTCACACCAGTTAGATCAACATCACTGCTCTTCCTGGCCTGCTGTGATCACCAACTGGTTCCCTCGGCCTCCCTCTTCTCTCTGTGTTGCATTGCACCGCGCTGCACAAGAATCCTGTGTGACAGTCCTGACTCAAAGCACAGGAGTCAATCAATTCAATGCATTATTTAGCACCATATAACAACATACATTATGTCAAAGCACATTGGGGGGGAAGGGGGAGGGGGGGACATGAGGTGGGAGATGAGGAGGGACATGACATCACCATGCCATTGATCCTCTAGTTAGCACTACAACGCCCCCTATTGCCTTAAAATGGAACAACAACTCAACTTTGAACCTTTACCCTTCAACCTTCAGGGTTTTAAAATCATCGTTATTGGGCTTGAGCTAAATTCGTCATATTACATAAACTTTCAGGCATGTAATAACTGTACAATAATCTAACAAATAAAGAGTAATTCGTTTTAAATAAAGTTTTAAATTTGCTAGTCGCCATTTACTTTACGTCTTCTGCGCATGCGCCGTCCCGGAAGGAGCGCAGCTGAGGTCGAATTGGAGGATTCTCAAGTCTCGGCTGAAATAAGGAGAAAATGCCGGCGGACTATGAAAAAGGAGCTTACCCGGAGCCTCCCCGACAAACCCCGGTGCTGGAAAAACACACCGCGCTGCCAAACCCGGCTCTGATCCTGTCCAAACTCTTCTATTACTCCGTGGACCTGCCTGTCACCACATTTAGAGGTAACCGAAGCTAACTGTGCTAACTGCTAACAGGACATAAACACGGCTAGCAGGTCCCCGCGGTCATTTATTCACTCAAACACTTGTATTCAGGCATTTAACCATATTATTACTACCTCAAAATATGACATCACCTCAGTTGCAAGGCTCTGCTTTGTGGACTTAACATGATAGACTGAGTTAATCTGCCATGTTTGCCCCTTTTAGCTATGTGCTGTGTTGTCCATGCTACATAGCTAGATAGCCTGGTTTAACCCTGCACCGGACTGTGTCCTCTCTCATCCAGATGCTGTGGACAGCATTCGTTCTAAAAACAAGGCCATGTATTACCACCAGAAGTTCCGCCGTGTCCCCGACCTGACCGAGTGTCAGCACGGAGATTATCTCTGCTACTATGAGGCAGAGATGCAGTGGAGGAGAGACTAGTGAGTACCAAGTCAACACCAACACAGATGAGTTATTCATCCTACACACACACACACACACACACACACACACTAAAACACTCCAATTTAACTGTGTGGCAGTTCGTTAGAAACTGTTGGAAATATCAGGGTTTCTGCGAGTTTCAACAAGTTGAATATAAGACTTTTAAAAACCACAGTGAATGAAATGAAGACTTATTTTCATGTAGGACAGATATGAGGGAATGTCAGTGTCCCTGAATTACTTGCACTTCTCCATAATTCAGGATAAAGTGAAGTAGCGAAGTGGAGAACCCTGGAAATGCTACGTTATCTCACAAACTACAGGCAGAGACACAGCCAAGGCGAGTGTGCTGAGGAACAATGCCACCAGGCTGTATGTCGGCAGTCATCGTTTCTACACTGGTCTTGTTCTTAGTTTTGTGACAGTGGGCTAATATCTGTATATTAGAGACAAAGTATATTCAGAAGATTTCTCTTGAAAAATAACTTGTGTTAAAGTCAAGTGCAACGGAAGTAGTGTTAAATAAATGTTGACATAATGTCGACCTAACTTTATGTCTTTGGACTTACTTTAGACTTTTTAAGGCCTAAAATTCATATTATTGGTCTGAAGACTATTAAAGATCCCACGGAAACCCTAAATATGCAAAGCAGTTTCTGAATTTGTATTTAATTTTGGGGCCCTTGCACTCAGCAAACCTCATACAGGGTTACTGCAGGATCTCAGGCTGTTCTACTGTGTATGTGTTCATAGGCAACTGGACTGGCCTTTGTGCTCATGAAGATGTCTTGACCTGGGTGACTGAAAACCTTCACTTTTATGTTACTACAAGATTCACAAAGAACATTTTGGTCCTTTAAGTTCAAATAGAATGCAATGTAATACCTGTGTCATGGTGACAGTCGTCAGGTATAATGTTTAAAAACAGACTGGAAACCTAACCCCCCCCTTCATCCACCACAGCAGGGGGCTCTTGGCTCAGACCAGCATGTTCAGTCTTACCATTCTGTTGGCCGTGTAGTTTATTTGTGGAAACCTATTTGTCATAACTGGGTGAAAATGTATTTTTGCAATTAAATTATTCAGGAATAAAAAAAGAATATCTCCCTCCTCAGTAAAGTGGACCAGGAGATTGTGAAGGTGGTCCAGGAGCGCATGAAGGCCTGCCAGCAGAGAGAAGGAGCCAGCTACCACCAGAACTGTGTTACAGAAATACAGCAGTTCAAAGATACAACCAAGAACTTCCTGTCACGCTGTAAGTACTGTGCAGTTTGGAGCCTGAACATGTGTAGTGCAATAGAAAGAAAAACATGGAAGCAGTGTACGTCATGCCAAAGCAGCTCTAGTTCAGGAATCATACGTCATGTCACACCATTGCCTGTATACAGCAAATACCATCTATTGTATTTTTGAAGAACTTAAATGGACAGTTAAATCTTTTAAGTAACAATACTAAAGCTTCTGAAATGAGAATTTGTTAAGTTATATATAATTTAATCAGGGAATGAACTTAGATTCTGAAAAATTAAGCATTTTTACAAGATTCCTGATGAAGCTCATACTTTGTCTGCCTACCAATAAATGGTTTTGATCTATGACGTGTCTCTTTGCAGACGGGGATCTTGGAGCGTATGCCAGTGGGAGGAAATGTCTAATGAAGCAAAAAGAACGCATGATGGCATCTCAAGCTGAGAGCGCTTAAGTTCTCCTCTTCCTGTGTAATATTGTAAAATAAACTTGTCCAATCATTCATGAGTTGCTGTGCTCTGTCCTCACTGATAAGGTTGTTACAACTTTTACTGATCATTTATATTGTTTTCATTACAGCTGATTCACTCAGTTATGAGCCTAGACTGATGATTACAGGTTAAAATTTAGGCCATTCAGAATCAACACAGTTAAGGATAATATAGATCTCTTAAAAATGTTATATTGTGATTTATAAATATCACCCATACCATGTTAGACACTTCCCTCAATCTCTAAATCACAACTGTTTCCATGAGCCAAGTTAATGCAAAATGAGACCATGCACATTACATTATGTTTCAGAATGTTTATTCAACGATTCTTTGTACAAAAAGTTTAGGAGGTAGCCGGCGGGACAGGCTGTCCCCTCTGCACAGACACCCTGGTGTGAGTCTTGGCCAGATGGTCAGTGAACTCCTGGAATAAGAACAAGGAAGAAGACCATCAGAAAAACTTGCATATCAGTGATAATCAAAAACCAAGATGTTAGTCAATGCTGTGTACTGTACCTGGTAAGGAGACTTGGTGAAGACTGTCTCCTTCCACAGATCAGGGGTCAGGTAGCTGTAAGTCTTGGAGATGGCGTCAAAGGTGGCCTTGGCTGGAGAGTTAACAAAAAGATACACTGAGTCAATGTTTAAGAACTTGCTTCAGCACATGTCTGCAGTTTCATTTGTAAAATAAACAATGTTGAGCACTGACATAAAACAGAGGAGACCACTAAAACCGTCTCTCTGCTGTGGATTACAATACTCATTTTATTTCTCTCCCGATTAACGACAACTACACCACTGCAGGAGGTGAAGCTGAGCAGAGCGAGGAGAAAACAGACAGAACAGATGAAGATGCACAACAAATGGGAAGAATCCTACCGAAGTTGCCGAGGGTTGCAGTGCAGCCCCTGGCAGAGGTGTAGCAGTCGTCGATACCAGCCATCATGAGCAGCTTCTTGGGCACAGGAGCAGACACGATGCCGGTACCGCGGGGGGCGGGGATGAGACGCACCAAGACAGAGCCGCAACGACCAGTCACCTTGCAGGGCACGGTGTGGGGCTTACCGATCTTGTTACCCCAATAACCTCTCCTGACAGGGACGATGGAAAGCTTGGCCAGGATGATGGCTCCACGGATGGCTGTGGCCACCTCTTTGGAGCACTTCACCCCCAGACCCACGTGGCCATTGTAGTCACCAATGGCAACAAAGGCCTGTAAAACACAGCCAGGGGTACGATTAAGATAACAGTGCTGAGAAAGTACAGTGCTGAATAACAGGACACCTTTAAAGATTTATGACAATCACCTTGAACCTGGTGCGCTGACCAGCCCTGGTCTGCTTCTGGACAGGCATGATCTTCAGCACCTCGTCCTTCAGACCAGTACCCAGGAAGAAGTCGATGATCTCGGACTCCTGCACGGAGGGAAAAAAAACAAGGTGTTTAGCATTAGGCAGAACCACTGCAGTAAAAGGGAGTATCCACCACTGTATAGTTTTTGCATGCTTGATGTTAGGATAAATATAAACATTTGGTTCTAACACTACATTAAAAGGCAGCTTCAAGGGTAGCATTACAAGATGATGCTAGGGCTGCAGCTAATTAAATTTCACAATCAAGTAATAAGCTATTAATTATATCCATTAATAATAGTTTATAAAATCTCAGAACACAGTCAAATTACTTGAACATGTTTCTATTCATAGTACGTAAGTTTACATAACGCCACATCCATCATACAGCACAAGCGAAATTTACATTTAGCAGACGCTTTTATCCAAAGCGACTTACAATAAGTACATTTGTGACACCAGAAATAAATTAGGGACCACTGCAACATTATCAGTCTTCAATTTAACCACATCAATGAATTTCTTCCTGTGCTGTATGGTGCTATAGTAGCAGTACTTATGCTCTAGTGTGAGTGAAGGTCCTGCAAAGTTAACAGTCAGGATCAACCTTTCAGAGAACTGATGAAATATGACAGCTCCAACACGTTCTGGGCAAATGAAGCACATAACTGGACACGTCTCTCTCCTCCACTCCCGTGGTAGCATTTAAAGTTAAAAGTGTCATGTCAGCCTCGCACAGGTTACCTTGATGGGCAGAGAGTACAGGTAGATCTCCTCCAGGGACTTGATCTTCATGTCCTTGACCAGGCGGCCCAGCTTGGTGACGGGCACCCACTGAGAGGACAGAGGATGGACTCAGTTAAAACTCACCACCCCGTGAATCTATGCTCAGCACATTTTTTTGTTGTACGTGTCACATCGTTGACATCAGGGTCTGAAACCTACCTCCTTGTCCTCGGACTTGCCGCCTCGGGCTCCGCGGCCCCTGCCACGGCCTCTGCCGCGTCCGCGGCCCCGGCCGCCGCGGCCACCGCCGCCGAAACCTCCACGGAAACCTCCTCTACCACCGGCGTCGTCCGCCATTTGCTACCCGGCAAATCAGAAAACATTTCAGTAAATACCATATTCCTGGGGAGAATAATTACACAGTAATCTCTGAATATCTCTGTAGACGTCATCTCCCTGAACAAGAGCATGGCCGCCATACTGGAAACTACGCGTCCATTCAGTGAGCAAATCCACACATTTAGCTTCTCTCCGCTAACAACTATGCCGCGTATTGGACGCAACATGTTCTCAGGTGGTTCATTTAATAAATTCAATGTGTTTAGCTGAAGGATGCGTGAGATAAAGATGGATGACCGCCTGGGTAAGAATCCGCCATAACTACTTACGTGATCTTTTTAACAGGAAGAAGAACCACGAGAAGTTCCGCTGGGTTTTATACAGATGTGTTATCGCGATATTTCCCCCGAACGAGAATCTGTTAACTCCTGTCCTCTAGTGGCAGTTTGTGGAAATACAGCTTCACTGCTGGGGCCCTGTTGATGTTTGATCGTTTCATGTTTTCATCCACAGCCTATTAGAAATCAGTGGATGTAACTCTCATTCTCTTTAACTAGTTATCATGTTAATCACCTTTGTTCAACGTTCAACAACTCTCTCTTGACAACAGTGTGATATTAAATACTTTATTTACAAAATATATGAAACTACAGCACAAATATGTGACAAATCCACTCAATTCAATCCTACATGTTCAAACACACAAACACACACACACACACACACACACACACACACACACACACACACACACACCTTCAAATCAACACATGGAAATAAAACAGCAGCAGGAACTGAGTTGTCTCTCAGCAGTTGCCCATGTTGCTTCCTGGCGTCCCACTGGAGCTGCCGCTGCTCTCTCCGAGGTCCTCCTCCTCGTCTTCCTGCAGATCGTCCATCACCTCCAGGCTCTCACAGATGAGCCCTATCTGCCTCTTCATGTACGCCATGGTGCTCTGCATCCTCCTCATCTTCCTCTGCAGGGCAGCGGCGATGGCCCTGTGGTTCTTCTGTCTGGCCTCGTACTCCTGCCTCAGCTGCTTGTAGCAGTTGTGTTGGGCCTGGGTGCGGTGGGAGAGTATCGTCCCGCAGCCCATGTGGCAGGGCTGACGCCAGTGCTCGCAGTGGCGTGCGTGGATCTCCAGATCCCTACGCAGGAGCTGAGCCCGGCAGCCGTGGTATGGACAGGGGATGAGCTCATACAGGCAGCTCATACTGTGGCAGTACTGCTCTGAGAGGGGGAAGGTCTCTGCACAACCACGGATCTCATTCTTACACTGCAGACAAAGAGAAATATGATGCCATTTGTAAATAAAGAAGGACAATTTATTATGATGTATTTTACTATGAGGAAATAGAGAAGTAGAGATGGTGGAGCAAGTATTCAGATCCTTCATTGAAGTAAAATTAGCAATTCTCCAGTGTAAGGCTTGATTTGAGAATAAGAGCATAATAAAGCATGCAAATACTTAAACTATCAAAACTACTCATAAAGTACTGTGGAAATTGACCTCTATGAGTGTTGTAAGTAGTATTACTGATATTTATGTTACTTATCATTGTAGATGGTCGAGGTGAAACTAATTTTGACTGGTTGGTCAAACTGCATCATGTCTCTTATTATTGTAATATATTCATCTCTATTAAGTAATGTATCTATTGTTATTATGTGCTTGAGTAAAAATACTTTCATAGTGTCAAAATAAATACAGACCCTCTAAACAGCTTGAAGATGAGATAGCGCAGGGCTACTTTTTAGGTAATTTTGATATTTCAGTTTAATCTTCCCTTTTCTCACATATTTGGCCAATTTCCAGATATCATTCACCCACGTTTACGATAATTTATGTTCAACAAATTCAACACTTCTATTTTCAGTTTCCCACCTTGACCTTCAGGCGTCCAATAGATTTGCTCAGCTTGAACATGACAAAGATCAAGCTCGGGTTGACAGGCTTTCTGCAGCAGGGACATGTCTCCTGTCTGTTGAGGACAAATATCAGTTAGTCTGGTTCTTTTGTGGGGACTAAACATTGATAAAAATCAAATTCAGCACTATAACACTATGTTCTTCCCCTGTGGCATTAATCCATGTTGCGCTCCATACCTCTTGAGCCACTGTAGGATGCATTTCTTGCAGAAGATGTGGTGGCATGCAGCTCTTACTGGACACCTGAGGACGCCCTGACATATAGTGCAGATCAGGTCATAGTCTGGGGAGTCCACAAACAGCTCCACATCATAGCCCCCGCTCTGTGTTGACACCTCTGGGTCAGCCTGGATGAGGCCAACACAAACAAAGTTTATACTGGGTTACCATTGTGTATTATTATGTAGTTTCTTTCTATAGTGATATTATAGGTTAAAGATGTGACAGTTGAGGGACAAACTGCGACTGGTTATACCAACGACTGTAAAACATGCTCTCTACAACTGCTACAACCGGTCCAGTGTTTTCAACAGAGAGACAGAAGGCAACAAAAGAGAATTGTTCTGGAAAGTCATATGACTGATCACATGATTACAAAAAAAACAAGTGCCATCACTCTTTTTTTTCAAGTGAAAGTTAGAAAATGCTTGTAGAAACATGAT